GACAGGCAAGGCCAAGAAGATTTGAGGTGCTGCATGAGATACGCCTGATACATTCGGCTTCTACTTTTGTTTAACAAATATGCACATATATTCACACACATACAACACTCATATGCAAACAATCACATGTGAAAAAAGACAACAGCTATCTCTTGCTGGTGAGGATCTAGCCAAATTTTACTCCCTTATTTTTTGATGTATGTTTAAAGCTTTCTACAGACAAAGATATTTTAATTTTATAGGGGAAAATAGTTGTGGACAGTTTTAGAAAGGAAGGCAGAGCAGTAAACATTTTTTTCAAACTAGACACTAGCAAAAAAAGGAATGATTCCGTGTTTTATTTTATGGGCAGAAATAAAAGTTTGAGTCTTTTAAGATATTGTTTAGAAAAGTAGCAACAAGTTGCTTTTTAAATGTGAGAAGTGTTACTCTTGCCATATAAAATTAGTTTCTAAAGAATTAAAAAATATACTTTGTTTATATATCTTGTATTATGTATTTAATTCATTCATTCACTCATCTATTCATTCATTTACTTACTCACCAACATTTCCCTTTCTGACCCCCTTCTATGAGCAAGGTACTGTGCTAGTCACTAGAGGTGCCAAGAAGAATCAGGAAGAATCTCCCACCTTCTAGAGGCTCATATTGGAGTGGGGGAAAATGGACGTGCCAGAGACAGAACTCAGCAAATATTCAGATACTGTCTTACGTTTCCTAGCCTCCATTGCAATTAAGTTGGGGCCATGTGACAAGTTCTGTCCAGTGGACTGTGACCAGAAGTGATGCATATCAATCACTTCTGGCTTAAGGTAGCTATGAGCTGCTGTGATTCCTCCAACTGTGTCTACCCCTGCAGCGATGACCTTGGAGGTCACATGTGCTAGATGACACAGCTACAAGATGGACAAGGCCACCTGACTGCATTAGATCGTGCATGAATGAGATATAAACTTTTATTGTGTTGAGCTATTCCCCCTCTTTTTTTTTATTATTGTGGTAAAATATACATAACATAAAATTTTATCATTTTAACTTTTTAAGCATGCAATTCAAGTGGCATTAAGTACAGTCACAACGTATACCTCTTTTTTTTTCTTGTAAAATTTTTGTTGTACATTATTGTTTGTCAGTCACCATATAAGTGCATCCCTCCACCCCTTGTGCCCACCCCCACCTGCCTAGCCCCTGGTAACCACCAAACAGTTCTATCTGTCCGTGAGTTGGTTTATCTTCCACATATAAGTGAAATCATGCACTGTTTGTCTTTCTCTTTCTGGCTTATTTTGCTTAACATAATACCCTCCAGGTCCTTCCATGTTGTACCCCTTTGTTTTTAATGAATAACCAGACGGGTGCTCATTTGAGACTTTGTGAATATCCTGTTTCCCAACAACTTTTTAGTCTCCAATGATAATTCTTCCTGGATGCTATTATCCCTCCTTTTAATATGATAAATTTATGAGGTCGATCTTGTTGATACAGTCATGTGTTGCATAACAACATTTCGGTTAACATTGGACCACATATATGATGGTGGTCCCATAGGATTAGTACCACACAGCCTAGGTGTGTAGTATGGTATACCATCAAGGTTTGTGTAGGTACTGTAGGGGAGGAAGACATTTTCCTCTACCTTTCTAGGTTCTTCTGGCTGGTCTAAGAATTAAATTGATAGCAGACCTTAACGAGAAAAACAAACAAAAGTTTAGTAACATGTATATGTGGGAGATCAAAATTTGGCCACGCTGAAATATATCTCTTTACCTTGATTGTTTTCTCTGAAGGACATTTGACCTCCCCCACTAACTGCCTAAAGAACTTGACATGGTGGCTCCTTCCTGGAACAGATCTTCTATCATGATGGCTGTAAAGATAATGTAAAATAGATGTTACAATGGGAGGGGCACCAAGCCCCTTTTATCAAAAACTCTGTCTCTCCCTGACCACGTTATCTATAGATGACCCCAAAAAGAATTGTCCTCCTGCCCTCTGAAGTCCCAGGCCACTACCCACCCCCAACACGCTCCTCGCCTTTAGCTGCAATACTTAAGCAAGCAGCTTAGACAGAGGGACGAGTTGCTCATTTCTGAGTTTCTCCCATGTATACATGTTATTAAACTTGGTATTATTTTCTCCTGCTAATCTGTCTTGTTAATTATTTGGCCAGCCATAAGAACCTTAAGGAAAAGGGCAGAGGGAGATTCTCCCTCTTCCCCCGACATATAAATGGGAGAAACCCAGGAAAACCTAGTAACTTGTCAAAATGGCCGAAGCTCTTACCTCAAATACCTCACCTCAAAGAAGATGTTGGGGGTGGGGCGAGTCAGGGCCTTCAAAGGGAAGAAAGGCAATTCACAACTAGGTGAAAAAAAGCAAACAGTTGGGAAAGCAAGTGTTTGGCCACACAGAAACTGAAGAACATAGTGGGGAGCCCAACAAACAGGCTTTTCTAGGTTCCTCCTTGTCTACACCTAGTTCATGTGATGCTAAGGTGATAGCTCGTTTCCTGAGACAGGTTTTTTTATCTGAGTTCTTTTAGGCAGTTAAGGGGGAGGTAACAAGTAAACCGGGTCTTTTGTTTCTTAAAAATCATCAGCCTAAAATAATCCTCATGTGAAAGAGACATATTTTGGGGTGGCAAATTTTGTTCCCCTTCAGTATACTCTATGATGTTTGCACAACAACGAAATCACCTAAGGATGCATTTCTCAGAACAGATCCCCGTTGTTAAGTGACGCATGACTGTATTCCCTTTTAAAGATGAGGAAATTGGGGCAGAGAGGTTAAGAAATTGGCCAATTTAAGTAATTTACCTAGTGGAACTGGATATTGAGCCACATCTGACTCTAATGTTCAAAGCATGCTTTATAGCAGAGTTGGCACACTATGGCCTGTGGGCCAAATCTGCCCCTCTTTATTGGGACACAGCCATGCCCGTTCATTTACATATTGTCTGTGGTTGCTTTCATGCTAAAGTGCCAAAGTTGAGAGGTTGTGACAGAGACCATATAGCCTGCAAAACCTAAAATGTTTACTATCTGGCCCTTTACAGAAAAAGTTTGCTGACCCCTTTTTTATAGAGTAGGTGTTTAAATTTTTTATTTTTATTTTTATTAAAATAACACATGGACATATTGGAAAATGAAATAGTGCTAAGAGTTTTATTTTGGAAAAGGAGATCCCTGTTGCGCTACAATCCCCCCCAGCACCACTCCTCAGAGACAGATGTGTTTCATTGTTTCAACTATCTCTTCTGGCATTCACAGTTACATTCTAAATATCCTTATTCTACTATTTCTGGATTTAACAATTTTAGACACTAATTGTTTTCTAACCTAGTTTAGGCCACTATCCTACTTTTTAGTGCTAGATTATGAATAAATTTATCATTTTTACCTGAAATGTAATGTTTTATGGTCATTTAAATAGTTTTATGCATTTTCATCATAATGTACATAAGAAAATTGACCTAAATTTAGCAATAACTAACATTTATTTAGTCCTTCATATGTGCCAGGCATTATTCTAATGCAGTTTTCATGCAGTATCACATTTCATCATTACAGAACCCCTAGGGAATGTAGAGACTGTACTGTTGCAATACTGTGGTCTTCCTGGATGTTAGGGGTCTTCTGTATCGCCTTCTCTTGCTTTTAATTGTTGCATGTCTGTTAGTCTTCTCCCACCAGCTAGCTTGTTAGCTCCTGGGAAGCAGTTCAGTGACTGTGGCTTCTATGTCTTTTTTGACCCCACTGAGGCCAGGCTTATGTTGCTCATATAGTAGATAGTAGTAAGTGGATTGTTTTCTCTCCCTTAGAGTGTTTTTGCAATTTTGAGTTTTTCAATTATAAACATTATAATACATAATTGTAATTCATTCTTAGTGTAAAAATCACCTTTAATAGCACCACCACTCTAGCAAAAATTTTAGTAGGAAGGAAACGTCATTTAGAGAGATTATGTGATTGTTTTACCTTGGTCAGGCACCTAGCAGGTGATAGAGCCAGAAATCGACATTTAGAACTTGAGCCCTTAAACATTATATTGTAACGGCCATGTGGAGAATCATACTACTTGACATTCATAGATTTGTGATTCTACTATTAGCAAATAATTTGAAGATTTATACCATCTAAGTTTGCTGAGGCACAATTTTAAATGTTTGATTTGAGACAGGTGTAGGTAGGGGTTGTCAGGTAGTGGGTCAGCCAGTTGCAGATGCTTTTTCTGAGGGTAATTCTTATTTTCTAATGGACTGGACATTTGCATGGTCTCAGTCTAGTGCACTGGCTCTCAAACTTGAGCTTGTGTCAGAATCAGCTGGTGGGCTTGGTAAAGCACTAATTCCTGGACCTCACCTCTACTTTCTGATTCAGTAGGTCTGGGGTAGGGCCTGAGAATTTGCATTTCCAACAAGTTCCCAGATGATGCTCGTGCTGCAGGGGACCAAACTGTTGCAATACTGTGGTCTTCCTGGATGTTAGGGGTCTTCTGTATCGCCTTCTCTTGCTTTTAATTGTTGCATGTCTGTTAGTCTTCTCCCACCAGCTAGCTTGTTAGCTCCTGGGAAGCAGTTCAGTGACTGTGGCTTCTATGTCTTTTTTGACCCCACTGAGGCCAGGCTTATGTTGCTCATATAGTAGATAGTAGTAAGTGGATTGTTTTCTCTCCCTTAGAGTGTTTTTGCAATTTTGAGTTTTTCAATTATAAACATTATAATACATAATTGTAATTCATTCTTAGTGTAAAAATCACCGTTAATAGCACCACCACTCTAGCAAAAATTTTAGTAGGAAGGTAGAAGCAAACTCTAAAGGATTTTCGGTGGCTTCTTAGACTATAGTGAAGCACTGAGGAACTTAGTCCTTGATTGGGGCAGTGTTTAGAAGTATATAAATATAGTAACTTGTAGATACTTTATCTGGTTTTTAGTAGAGGCTCCTGCCTTTTACCTTTAGCATTCTTTGAGATCTTTTTTTAATCTTCTGTTTATATAGAGGTCAACCAGAATCAACATGTCTGGGACTGAGGAAGCAATTCTTGGAGGCCGTGACAGCCATCCTTCTTCTGCTGGTGGCAACCCTGTATTATGCTTTGGTCAGGTAACTGGCTTTTTCATACCTGGAAAGAAAGGTTAGGTGAAAAAGGTGTGAGGAAGCAATTTGTAGAGCACTGTCGTATTTATGTGTGCTCTTTATTGTTATTAGTTTTTTCCTTTAGATGCATTATTATTTGGGAGTCTTTAATGAACTCTGAGGGCATTTTGAAACTTTAGCATCAAAAGACTAACAGTACTGGGGATTACATTTACATTGACATTTTATTTATTTTTTGGATAGATTACATATTCATATGATATAACATTCAAATTAGACAAAGACCCTGTGTGAAAAATCTCACTATTTCCCTATCACTGCTGTCCACATCTCACCCAGTTCTCTTTTTTGGAGGCATCCAACATTTCTGGTGTCCTATTTCTTTGTGGATATATGTTATGGATATAAAAGAGATTCTTGCTTTGTCCACCCAAATTCTATCTTTGTCTTTACCAGAGATCTGTTTGTGAGTATTTATTTTACTTAAATAGGGCAAGGGGAAAACTACCCAGGGGACAAAAATCAAAACAAGTAGTCATGTGTTTATTAGTGTGTAGGATGGGAAATGGCCGGTTAGAGGAGCGTATAAAACTTTGGAGGCGACAAATGGGAGCAAGACTTCCTGTCATGGCTTCTCTCCCCCACACCCTTGCCTGTATAAACGTTATATCCAGACTTGGAGGCGGGAAGTCTTAGCTTCCCAATTCTGGCTTGAGAAAGTTTTATAAGGATGGTAGTAACACCTAAGGCAGTGGTTCTCCAAGTGTGGTTCAGTGACCCCTGGGGGGTCCACAAGACCTTTTCAGAGTCCCTGAGGTCAAAATGATTCTCATAATAATACTAAAATACTATTTGCCTTTTCCACTCTCCTTGTCTCATGAGTGGACAGTGGAGTTTTCCAGAGACTACATAGCATGTGATGATATCATTTCTCTGATGGCTAGTAGAATTGTGCCTTAAAAGTTTCTCAGTTTTAGTTCCTAATATTGCTAGGTGGAATCCACCTAAGCAAAAGCTCTTAGGGTCCTCAGTATTTTTTTGTGTAAAGGGGTTTGGACACCAAAAGGTTGGAGACTTGCTGATGTAAGGAATGGTGGAAATGTCAGTTTAATTTTCCCTTTCTGGATTTTAGTACCAATACACAGCAGAAGAGTACCAGGCCATCCAGAATGCTCTGAGGCAGAGGCTGGGCCCAGAATATATAAGTAGCCGCATGGCCGGAGGAGGCCAAAAGGTAGGAGAGTTTATATGCCTTAAGAGTGGGTGCCTATATAGCTGACCGCCCAGATGATCTTGCCAACTCCCTCTCTGGGTCCTTATGGATTCAGAAGGTCTCTTGTTGGGGACTGGCCTGATGGCATAGTGGTTAAGTTCACGTGTTCTGCTTCGGCGGCCCCAGGTTCGCTGGTTCGGATCCTGGTTGTGGACCTACTCACTGCTCATCAAGCCATGCTGAGGTGGCGTCCCACATAGAAGTGCTACAGTTCTACAACTATGATGCACAACTGTGTACTGGGGCTTTGGGGAGAAAAAAGAAAAAGAGGAAGATCGTCAACAGATGTTAGTGCAGGGTCAGTCTTCCTCAAAAAAAAAAAGAAGGTCTCTTGTTCACTGTTACTAGATGTTTCCTAGTGTCTTTGGGAGGGGTGGGTTCCAGCCGTCCTTGTCATCTGAAGTGACCCAAGCATTGTCTTGAGACTACCTCCCTCAAGACAGAACATTAGTTCTAACTGGCTCCTTCTGGAAGATCTTTGAAATAAGTTCACTGAGAATTTCCCTGTAATGTTTAAGGTTAGTTTTGCCAAAACAGCTGGTAAGGAATAAATTAAGTAAATTTTGATCCACATTTAAGTATGGCAAGGAATTTTAACAAGCTTTTTTTTTTCTTTAATTTTTGTTCTAGGTGTGTTACATTGAAGGTCACAGGGTAATTAATCTGGCGAATGAGATGTTTGGTTACAATGGCTGGGCACACTCGATCACACAGCAGAATGTGGGTGAGTGTGCTTCCTGGCAGTTGACTTCTTCGTCTCCCTTACTTTGGCATTGTCTGATTTCTGACAAGAGCACTTTGTGGGTGAGGATGCAGGGTAGGTGTAATTGGTTGCCAGCAGGAGGAATATGGGTGAGGTACAGGGATCAGCGTCCTCTTCAACTGGTTCTCTTTCCCACTCCTAGATTTTGTTGACCTTAACAATGGCAAGTTCTACGTGGGAGTCTGTGCATTTGTGCGAGTCCAGCTGAAGGTGAGGGTGGTGGAGCAGACCTGCTGCCTGCAAGGATCGGGGGTGGGAAGAGAGAAGGAGCAGGTGGGGAAGTCTCTGGACCGTGGCACAGCCGAGCTAGAGAGCTAGATCCCAGCGCTGTGTCTCAGCCAGTGTTCCTTTGATGGTGGTATTCAAACATCTTACTCATGTGCCCCCTACAAGAATTTCGAAAAGCTGTTCTCTTGCACATTTTAAGTTGACCCCTAAAAGTTTTCACCATAAATATAAATAGTTGCAAGGGTGTATTTTTTGGCATATGGTAAAATTTGACATTCTATAATAAATCTGTTACATCTTTTTAAAATGTACCAATGGATTCTGTGTACCATAAAGGATTAAATACTGTCATCCATTTAAAAAAATACATGAGCAAGCTATTCCTTAATCATCAGAAATTTTATGTTGTTCTTTAACTCATATTTCCATTCCATTTCCCCATTGGCTTTTATGCTAATATATATTTATGATTGAAAATCTTTTATTAGTAACCTTATGTTTGTCTGCCTCTGTGTGTGTGTATATACGTGCGTATAAAAATAATTTTTGGCGGTAAATTTCCGGTGACCTTAAGGCTCTAAATATTAGACAGTTTCTTCTGGATTGAGTTACTATTATAGGTATTATTAACACACAATTGATCAGTCAATTGTGTTTATGTTGAAGAGATAACATACCGCATCAAAATTTTTGTACTTAATAAAAATAAAATTTTATGGAAAATGCATTGCTTAATGAGGTGAATGAAACTGTTTTTTTTCTTTTTAGTTAGTTTATATATCCATAGTTTCATATTACTTATTCCTAGACTAAACACTCAGCATTATTTCTATTCTGATTTCTTATTTTTATAAATAATACTGAAAAACCCCTTTCACATAAATGAACTGGGAATGGAAGGGGTTTTGTTATAGTGTCATTCATTTCTTTGAATACTTTCTGAGTTACATTTCAAAAATCACAGAGTGCTATCTTCAAAAATTATATTCAATTCTTTATCAGCTAACAACTTGATCAGGTCCACCTTCACTTTTGGTGAAAGCCAAGAAATGGATACCACCTGACTCGCAAAAGGATTTGCTGTCCAACCATTAGAGTCTGTTAAATACAATATTTCAAATTTTCCTTTTGTTTGGTGTACCAGAGGTTTTTATATATACCTTCGGGTAATGCACCTTAGTAAGATTTGGTGTGGGTTAGATATGTGCCTTTTTTATGTAAAAGAGAAGGTGGGAAAGGAGAATTGCCTGGGCACTTTGACCACAAGCACATTTCCAGGCAGATCAGGTCTAGGAAATAGTACTGGAACTTGATTCTTTTATAGCTCTCTGTGCCCGTGTGCCCTTTGGCAAGTCCCCTGGGTTCTTTATGCCCAGTCTGAACACTGCTGCCTGAGGAAAAGAAGAGCTGTGGAGCCAGGGACAGGACTGCAGCTTTTCATGTAGATTTTGCACTCTTCTTCTACCCCCAGGATGGGTCATATCACGAAGATGTGGGCTATGGTGTTAGTGAGGGCCTCAAGTCCAAAGCCTTGTCTTTGGAGAAGGCAAGGAAGGAGGCAGTGACAGATGGGCTGAAACGAGCACTGAGGTAAGCAAAAAGGGTTGGATTCCAACTTGCTTCATTTCAGCTCTTGTTTCAGAGGCGTTTTCTTTCTTTTTTTTTGAAAAGATAATACATTCACATGGTTCAAAAAGTCTCACTCCCACCCTTATCCCTGTCTGCCCTGTTTTTCCACTCTCTTTTGTGTTTTCCCAGGTCTTCTTTATGCCTGCGTCTCCACTTTTTTGGGAATATGTGGTAGAATACTATATTTTGCATTCTGCCCTCCTCTACTCAGTAATGTATCTTAGAGACCTTTCCACATGAGTACACTGACAGCTTCCTCATTTTCTTGAAGATACCTAAACAGTTCTTCATTATGTACACATAACATAGTTAACTTAGTTACATAGAGCAGGGTTTTTAACCTTTTTTTTGGGTCAGGGATGCCTTTGAGAATTGAAATGAATTGAATCACCAGAAAAAAACATGTATAAACATGTACAAAAAATTTGCAATACCATAACCTGTGGGGAGTCTGTATATGACAAGTAAAGAACTTTACGAGAATTGTGCCCATAAGTGTTTGTAGCTCACTATTATTGGGGAATTGGAACAGTCCTCAGAGAAAATCTCTGCTCTGGAATTTTCTCTTCATGTCAGGAGGTAGCCACTGGGTTTTTTTGTAATGGTTTCTTAGTCTTTTCCTACTCATTGCCTCTTCTGGAGGGCAGGGATTTGTGACTGTTATGCTCACTGCTATATTCGCAGAACCTAATACAGGGCAGGAACAGGGCAGATGCTCAGTAAACATTTTTGAATGCATGTTAGTGTCCATTTCCTCTGCTGTAGTTGAGAAGCAACTTGCACAAAGGTTGTAACTCTGGTCTCTGATATTTACATGTAATAATTGTCAACCCTGTTTAACTTTTTTTTTTTTCTTACCCTTAGAAGTTTTGGGAATGCACTTGGAAATTGTATTCTGGATAAAGACTATCTGAGGTCACTAAAAAAGCTTCCTTGCCAGGTATGTTAGAAATGGATGAATGGAATGCATTGCAGTAAAGATAGAACTAATTCCCGTGTGTCATAGGTTGAATATTTAAGGATGGAGAGAGAAGTGAAGACTCAGCTATTTAGAGGGTCTAGAATGTATATGTCAGACTTCTTTGAATATTAGAGCTAGCAGGAACCAGTCACCTTATTTTACAGATGAAGAATTTGAAGCCTATAGAATTGATGTTAACTTGTCTCTTACATAGAGAGAACTCTGGTTGGGAATGGTCTGTGAAACCTCAAAAGGAGCACATAGCCCTCTGCAGCACCACTGTCATTTCCTAGAAACAGTCAGAATCTCACCTGTTCAGCCTTCTTGCTTTTCCTTAGCTCTGGTGTCTTTAAGGTGTAGATGTCCCTTGTTTCTACCAATGCCTATCACACTATCTGAGTGTTTGCTTTTGGAGAATGGGGTCTGAAGTTTAGCATCCCCAGAGTCACACTTGACCTGGGCTGAGTCCGGCTTTAGAGTGTTCCTTTTGCCTGGTGGAGTGTGGCTGCTTTCTCTGTGGCATTCTCCAACGTCCCTGCAGTGCTGCCAGCCATTAGGATTGCTGCTATCAGGGCGATCCTATGCAATTCTATAGTATCAGGGCAATCCTATACAATCCTACGCTATCAGGGCAATCCTATACAATCCTACGCTATCAGGGCAATCCTATACAATCCTACGCTATCAGGGCAATCCTGTACAATCCTACGCTATCAGGGCAATCCTGTACAATCCTACGCTATCAGGGCAATCCT